CCCCCGGATCCAGAGCTACTTCTTACCTGGGCGAGGCCCAGCCACACTGGCCGCCCTCTGAGCTGAGTCTCTGCTGGCCCCCAGGGGAGAAGGGCAGCAGTGCTGGTCACCCCAGAGAGGACCTCATCTCATTCCAGCCCTGCCCATCTTCTGACCCAGGGCCAGCGCACGGAGCTGAGGGTGCCAGACAAGGGGGAAGAGCGGCCACACCACCGTGGTGACAGACTTTCTTTATAAGCATCTGGAAGGAAGTCTTCTCAAGATGCCCAGGAAGGAAGGAGGGTGGAGGAGAGGGAGGGGGCAGAGCCAGGACCAGGGCTGCACCTGGATAGGAGGGGCTTTTAGGCCCCAGAGAGGCCAGGCGAGTCCGAGTCAATGATTTCAGACGCTCCATGGGGTACAGCAGGAGGGGGCCTCGGTGTCCTCAGTACAAGCCCTTGTTTTTACTGTGGCTGACTTGAGAGCTGACCAGGCAGGGATGAGGGGCTCAGCCCCACTGGACACTGGGCTGCAGGGGCCACCCTCCTGGTGGGGGTGCCCGCAGGGATGGAGGCAGCTCCTGGACTGGTGGCCAGCCCACAGGGTACTGGAAGACAGTGGCTCTGATGGGTTCTGCCCTAGAGAGAAAGAGGACAGAGAATTCAAGTGGGGCACAGCCCAGGCCCTGGCTGGGACACCCCCACCTCAGCTTACCCTCCTCACCACTCCAGCTGTGGGGAGGGTCAGCTGCCTGTATAACCTTCCTTGAAGGCAGAGCCTCAAAAACATGCAGACCGTTTGAGCCAGCCATCTCACCTCTAGGAATGAGCCCAAGGAAATAGTGGGGTTGTGGGCAGAGACTGAGCTTTAAGAAATGGAAATAACCTTAGTGTCCACCTGTGGGGGACTGATTAAATATATATGCACGTTGACAGCAGAGAATGCTACGCAGCCTGTGAAAGATTAAGGCAGACTTATATGCACTGATGAGGAAAGATGTCATGATGTTCTGTGTGAATAAGGAGAAAAAGCAGCTTATAAAATAATGTATATAGCATGATACTATTTTTGTTGAAAGATATATAACATATATAAATGCATAAAAAACTTGGAAGACACAGCAAATGTTAACAGTGGTTCTGAGTGGTGCAATTAAGAGTGACTTTTTTTTACTTCTTTATACTTTTCAAGAAAAGTTTTACAAGCACACAAGCCTTTGAAATCAGAAAAAAAATACTGTCTAAATTTTTAAAAGCCTCATTTCTCATGCTACTCACCCTCCTTCCCCTTAAGGTCCACCAACCCTGGGACTACCTCCTGGGAACCCGGTGCCCAGACTGGGGTGGCCCTGTCCTAAAGGAGCCCACTGAGGCAAGAGGCAACCTCCCCCCATTACTGCCCCACATTCTGATCCTTCTGGACGTGACCTCCACTCAGGCTGCTGATCCAGGGCTGCACTGCCCCTCAGGCTACGGAGGGAGTGTTGTGAACTGAGCTGGGAGCTCATGTCTCCCCTATGGGCCTGGAGCTCTTAGAGGAGAGGCCAGGGGATGGGGTGGCATCCATCTGCTCCCTCAGTACCCGGGAGGCCACCCAGTGAATGTCTGCTGATGACAAACAGCAACGCTGTGTGCTCTTACTGCCTGGGTGCTACTCTGGGCCAGACACCATGGCCTTGAGAAACCTCAAGAATCCTCAAGTGAACCCCATTTTATAAATGAGGCCACCGAGGTGCGTGGAGTCAGTCCTGCGCCCAAGTGACAAGTCTGGGACAGGGATGATGCACTTTGGCTCGTGAGCTCCCCTTCCCAGCCCTAGGCCCAGCTTTCAGTGAAGGCGAGGCCCTGGCAGCCTGCAGCAGGCTCAGGGGCCCAGTGGCCAGCCCTCTGCAGGAAAAGCATATCCCAGGCCCTTGGTGACAGGTCTGAAGAGGCTAAGCCCTCCTAGGCAGAGGTGGGGGGCTGCCTGGCTGCGCTCAGCCAACCTGCCCCTCTCGGGGCCTGACCCGCTGTAGGAGCCTCAGCAAGGGCTTCAGGCAGCCCCGGGCACAGCCTCTGGGGCCTCCTGTTGCGTAAGGACAGGGAAATCCCTGCCCTACTGCTAGCTGCCTGCTGTAGAGCACAGAAAGCAGCTCCCAGCATGATTTATGGCACCAGGGAGATTTCATAAACTCCACCAGCCGCAGAGAAGGGTGGGAGTGGGGAAGGCTCCGCAGTTGCTGGAAGGGAGAGCCTCGGCTGCCAGCCAAGCCCGGGCTCCCTGTGGGGCTGGGGTGACCACAATTCTCCGCAGAGAGGGTGTGACTGGGGAGTCCCTTCCCGTGAGCCTCAGATCCTTCCTCTAGAAGATGGAGCAGATTCCTGGGCAGCTGAGGCCTCCTGCCAGGAGAAGGGCCCAGTCCCTGGGCCTCACACCCCTGGGGCCCCCAAGCCCCCGAGCCCCCGGAGCATGCCCCTCCAGCCCGCACAGAGCAGACGGGGACACTGAGGTGCACAGGACTGTGCTCTGGCTCCTCCCGTGGCCTGCCTTCCCCGTCACAGGGGCAGGAGCCGCTCTCCCTTGCTTTTCCCAGCAATTGTCCTCATTAGAAGGAAAGAGTCTTAGGGAGGCGCCTGGGCCAGGACAGTAGCGCTGGCCCAGAGAGGGGTGCAAAGGCGGGGCGGATTAAGAGGGATAAGGTCACAGTCTGAAGAGCCAACAACGGACGAGGACGGGCACCGGCCCCGCCGGGGATTAGTCAGCTTGTCTGAGGCCGGCCCCTCCCTCCCGCCACCGTCCGCTCCAGGCAGGTGCCTCGGGGTCAGTTTGCTGAGGGGGTGGCAGGATGTGCCAGGCTGGGGCCTCACAGAGCCTCCGTCTCTCCTTTTACAAGGAGGGTTGGCCCGGCTCACCTTGAGGGTTCTGCTCAGGCTGGGAGGTTGGAACCTTCAGGTCTGGGTGGCCCCAGGTGGGCCAGGCAACCATCTGTACCCTGTGCCCCAAGGGGAGGAAACAGAGAGGTAGAGGGGCCACCAGACTGGTCCCCACAAGGGGCCCCTGGCGCTAACACTCAGGAATAGTTCTCCAGGCTGGGACCCTGCTCCCCAAATGCTCTCTCATGCAGTCAACGTGTCCTGGGCCTGTGCCAGGCTGAATGACAACACTGTGAGCTCAGGGCCATGAGGGGGCCGTCTGGGGGTGGAAAAGGAGATGTCTTAACTAAAGCTTAAAGGATGAGTCTGATTTTGCCAGGCAGAGGGTGGGGACAGTTCCAAGCAGAGGAAACAGCACGCACAAGGTGCCCCGAAATCAGACATGCCCAGCACATCTAAGAAGCTGCCCAGAATCCAGTGGGATTGACACAGAGGCCAGATGGGAGAGGAGAGAAGGTGACCCTTACCGGCCCGAGAGGTGGCAGGGAGGTTCCCCGGGCCCAGGGAGCTCCCTGGAGGTGGAGGAATCCCAGGAGGGTTTAAGCAGGGGCCGGGGCCAGGAAGTGTTTAGAAGCTGGTTGGGGCTGGGGTGTAGAGCATGGGCTGGAGGAGCAGAGGGGACGCAGGGGACCAGGAGGGGCTGCCGTGCCATCTAGGAGAGCCAGGGTGGGTGAAGGGAACAGAGACCTGCCTTGAGGGTAGGAGCCTCGGGGAACAGAGGGAGGCAGCCTGCCAAATCCTGCTGAATCCACTGCCCCCCGACCCTGCAGAGTAGGGGCCAGGGATTCAGGGGCAGAGCCCAAAGCTTGTGGGTTGCAAGGTGTCTTTTTTCATGAGACCAGCCTGAAGGGAGAGGGCTGAGGAAGAACGAGGCAGTGATGGCAAAAGCAATAATAAATGGTCCCCTCCCTTCCCACAACCTCTTTTTCTCAAGGCTGGACTGGCCTGCTCTGCCCAGAGA